TGCCTTACATTGTCAGTTTGCCATTTTCAGCGTGCACAAAATTCTCTCTATATAGTATTTTTGGCTTTTTTCCAGTAGTGTCTCCAGAGTTCTGTTGTGTATGTACATGCATTTCCAGGTCATATTCTGTGTGCATATGCATTTCCACGCAGCATACTGTGTGCATATGCATCTGCATCTCTAAATGCATCTACACAGAGAATACTACCTGGAAATGCATATGCAGACAGAAAACTATTTGGAAATGTATGTGCACACAGAATAGTACTTGAAAACGTATGTCCACATACAGTAGAATACTACCAGGAAATGCATGTGCACACAGTATATTACCTGAGATTGCATGGGCACAGAGAATACTATCTAGAAATATATGTGCTCACAAAATACTACCTGGAAATGCATATGCACAGAGAATACTACCTGAAAACATATATGCACATACGTTGTATTCTATACTGTGTGCATGTGCATTTCCTAGTAGTATTCTATGTGCACAAACGTTTCCAGGTAGTAAGTATTCTGTCTGCACATGCACTTCCCAGGTGTTGCTACGCTTTTGTGAAGAGCCGTTTTGATGCAATCTCTCCCACGCTTTTGTAACACCACTCCGGCAAGAAAACAATGACAAGCGAACGCAAATGGTTTCAAAGGTTCCCCCTGCTCCTCGCCCCCACCCGAGGTGTCTTTGAGGAAGTCACTAGCTATTAAATGTACTGCATGGTGAGTCTGGCTGTACTTCCTGAACCTGTTCAAGTCCTCGGGAGCAATTCTGCCACCCGGTCGTCTTATTGGTAAATGAACAGTGATTATAATGCCTGGATGTGATTAACTGAGAGTGTGATCTCAGCCTGTGGATCTTCACTTTGGTAAATCATTATTCCCAGAGTAGAGATGCAGTCAGTCTGTAACTACCAATGCCCTTGAAGACCCTCCCAGGTGGAGACCACCTATGATAATTAGCATTAAAAGGACGTCTCTGATAGGAAGAACACCATTGTCTGGTTACATGTTAATATTATAGAGATTAAGATTATGCCCTACCACTGTCACTCACTGGCTCACTGTCTACTGGATGACGAGTATCTCTAATGTATGTCACTCCTGGATCCTGTGTTCCTCTATATCGCACTTTGACTTCGACTTAGACCTTGTCTCCTTACTGGACTCCCTCCTGGGTGATATTTGTGTGTGTAGCATTCCTGACACGAGGTTTCTAAGTAGTCTTCCAGTAGCTTTTTCTCCCCAGATACCTTGTACTTGTCTCGGGTCAGTCACTGGAAGTTCAGGCCAGCAGTACTGGTGCAGCTGACTCCTTGACAGCTGTAGTCTTGTTATTCCTGCGGAGTTTGACCTCGAAATGTGCAAGAGAGCAGCATCAGCGATCTGCGGGGCCGGTGATGTTTTGGTGGTTCACGGTCATGGTGGGTATTTGACAGAAGCGTGGCTGGCTGTGCTGACAGGTGGTCCCCAGGCTCTCCCCAGGGCTGGGCTGGAGCTGACAGGCGGTTCCCAGGCTCTCCCCAGGGCTGGGCTGGAGCTGACAGGCGGTTCCCAGGCTCTCCCCAGGGCTGGGCTGGAGCTGACAGGTGGTCCCCAGGCTCTCCCCAGGGCTGGGTGGCCGTCTGCTCTGACCGCAGAGGCTTTACTGGGTATTTCAGACTCACCCCAGAATATCCAGAGGGACTTGATATCTCGGCTATGCCTGCTTTGTTCTCCCCAGTGTGAGGTTTAACATGCGGGGGGTGGATGTTTCTTTCTGTATCTCCAGGGGGGGGAAATAAATAAATAAATAAATTCTGTCATGACTTGATGAATTGTTCCTGAAGTGGATTTGGGAATAAAACATACTGAATAGCCGTGCAATCTGAAGGAGTTTCTACTCCCAAGCGAATTCATTCAGTTCAGATTTTAAAAGAACAACACCAAAATAAACATCCTGTTATGAAATCCAGCCACACATACTGCCTGTATATAGATTATTATTATTATTATTATTATTATTTTTGTTATTATTATTATTATTATTGTTGTTGTTGTTTTATCATTGTAGTTGTTTGTTGTGTCCATGCAATATACAGCCACGCTCCCTGGAATCCTGGCACTGCACGTCACCCCACCCTGGTAACCTTGCCAACGCTGCAGCCCTATTGGCTTATCCCTAGCCTTGCTGGCCATCGCAGAGCCTCTTTTCCATAGCATCCGAGCACGCTGCCCACCAACACCCACCAGGCCGTCTTGCTGGCAGCGTCGTGAGCCATAAACCAACTTAGAAAGCATGGCATCGTGCCCCCCTTTGCGTCGACATTGCAGCCGTCCCGGAAACGATTGCCACGGTAACGTCTTCATTTGAAGACGGGAAGGAGAAACATAGACCCTGCTTGTTTATTAATCCGTATTGTTCCCTGGTACAAAAAATCACACCTTGTTCCAAAGACTAATACGGAGAGTGTAGAATTACTTAAATGTAAATGAGACTTATTGTTCTTCCAAATTGTAAAGGAAATCGGTAACGATGAAAAGGGGAGATTTATTTAAAGGGTTTATAATTGCAGGGCTGACACCATTGCCTCCATTTCCTCCATCATTGTGTAGCATAAATGATCAAAGATCAGTGATCAAAGCCGTTGGCCTTTAGTATTCTTATAAAGGGGTTTCATACTGTTTTAGAAACCTGTGAGGATTTCTGCAAGGATGATCAGGCTCCTTTGAGCTCCTCATCACAGTGTCCTCGCTGCCTGGAAACGGGCGTCACGGCGATGGAAGCTCAAAAAGGTGGGGAGCCATAGCAAGGTGACATCATTGAAAGGTGCCTCGAAATAGTGTCAGAGTAACAGTGGAGGGCTATGTGATCTTAGACCTTCGCGGCCGAGGGCGTGTAGTTAGCAATTAGCAGTGCTCTTCAGTTTGGTCTTCTCCTATACGGCCAAAGTCCAGAGAGATTTATGCTTTTCTGTTGGACCCTGTGGCCAGCAGAGTGGCTTCGTGGTTATAGCGCCATTGCCTCACACCTCCAGGTTTGTGCCTTTGAATCCCGCCCCCAAGGTTCCCCCTGCAGTGTGTGGGTTTTCTCCAGGAAGTTGGGAATCCTTTTGCAGTGTAACTGGCCACTGTAAATGGTTTGACTGTGACATGGCCTGCAGAAAGAGAGAGAGTGTGAGATGGCACTTTTCCACTGGCATACAGGAACCGAGCCGTACTTGTCTTGTACCATGAACGGAGACTAGTTCCAGCGCGGTTCCAGCTCGCTTTGGTTTTCCACTGCACTTGGTCGGCTTGGCAAAGGCGTTGTCAGGTTTGCAGAGCGCCAATAACGTAAACCCAAAGAGACGTTTAGTTACTGTTTACATGGTGTAAACTCACTCCTGTGAGAATCACCGTCATGTTTGCATGAAACGTAGGGGAATTGGCATTTATTTGCTTGTGTAAATTTGCATTACAAATCCATTCCGTTCAGATGTTCTATAGTACTTTAAGTAGAGGGTTGGAAATTTCCAAGTATGCATTAATGAATTCCGATGTGCGACACTGCTAATAATTAATAATATGTAGAATATGCAGTTTTTGCCTTCAGATAATCCATGGATATCGATGCAGATCACTGGTACCTCCATACATTTCGAACAATCAGATGTTGGATGCAACCATCTGGGATTTGGCACACTGTAGGAAGGCTGAGTCAGCAGGGGAAGGGACAGGTTCGGGCACGGCTCACAGACTGTGCAATAGAAAATTGTAAGTTTGTGGTATGGCTTGGTTCCTGGTGGCAGTGGAAATGTGGCCAGATGGATGGATGGATGGATGGATGAATGGATGGATAGATAGATGGATATGCAACTCCACTTTCTAAACAGGCAGGTCATGATTTAACCCGTTTAAATGGCTCATTAATCTTTAACCTAATTAATCTGAATTGTTTGACATTGGAAAATAAAATGCCTAATTACATAATTAGCTCAACTGAGGTGGACTGAAAATATCTGTGTCTCTGCATGTCTGTGCATCTGTGATTTCCCACACATTGAGAAGCCATATAGTTGGTTATATATGTGGTTGGGTTTCTTTTCAGGGGAAATGTCCTTTTCTGGGTATAACCTCCATAGACAGTCAAGGATCTTTATGACCAGTAGCATAATTATGGGATTAAATGAAGTTAATTAGAACTTTAAGGCTTTTTCAGTTTGTTTAAATTTTTGCATTTAAGGGTGACAGTTAATGACCCGGCAAGCTATAAATTGTATGCTGGCATTAGTCACGCATGTAGGACTCACGGGGGAGAGTCGAGCTTTATTCTTAATACCCCAGCAGCCAGACCTGTGGATGAGAGCCTGACACGCGCGTCACTCTCTATCATGCCGACGGCAACATCCAGCAGCGGCTGGGGACCGGGTCGCTCCTCTGTACCACAAATCCTGGATCACTGACTCCTCCCCTCCCCTGAAGGAGCTTTCTGCACTGTTAACTCTGCAGTAGGTTCTTGTGAACTAGAGGACCTCCCCCAGGATCAGCACTTAATCTGATAGGAGTGATCTTATGTCTTTGAACATTTTCCTCTTGGACCATAATACACATACAAACATGACCCATCCAACCTCGGTGAAATATTCCTCTGGGGTAAATTATCTGTGTTTTAAATGTTTTTGTCCAGGGTTTACAGCAGAGCTAAACAATCCCACGATGCATTGCTCTTCCTGCACTGATTAACCTTGGTTTTATGCATCTTGATGTTTTTTTTATCCTTTGTTTTATGCAGTTTACAGTAATGTGCTCAAGGCTATTGCAGCAGGATGCACGTGGTATCCATGTTGCAGTCATCATTAGTCGTGTCTTTTATTGGCCTTGTTAACATACATTAATTGGATCCGAGTCGGGTGATCTCCGTGCATCAGTGTGTCTGGACGCCACCTGTCACGAGCAAGGCGTGATTAACAGGGTGCGTGGATCAGGCCAATCCAGTAGGTTTCCTGACCCCACCCCCCATGTGTCGTCCGTCCCCCCAGCTGAGCGAGACCCTGACAGCATGGAGCAGGCCCTGCACCAGTCCGTCTTCCTGTCAGCGATGTCGCCACACCCCGGCCGCGAGCTGCCCCTCTGCTGGGAGCAGCACTGCAAACTCCTGCCTGGGGTGGTGGGAGTTCCAGCCAGCAGCGTGGCCCAGTGGACCGTGGAGGAGGTAGGCGAGGACCCGCGGGGCGCTTGGAGGGGGGCACTTGGAGGGGGGCGGGAGGGTGTATCGAAGGCCTGCCACCAGCTCAGGAATCACTTAGGGAGATGTAGATATGGCCACAGGCAAAATGCAAAATCCTCACGTGCTGATAGTCAACTGAGGACTTAAGCAGCTACATAGAATGTTTACAGGTGGGCGGATCAGTAAATGGATGGATTGAATCGATGATATGAGTAGGTGGATGATGGATGGATGATTAGTTGGATGCACTGATAGATGGATGGATGATGGATTAATGAATGGGTCAGTGAATCGGTGGATGCATGTGACAGTTTCCTACAAGACCCTCAGCTGTAGGATGAATGTGGGCGACGCAGCTTATGCTACATGCTAAGAATTTCATTGCACACATTTGACTATAAATTTCTTGAATGCCAAGGCCCGTGGCCCCATATCCTTAATGATAATAATGGGGTTAAAATCCCACTCCATCACAGAGCAGCAAAAAGCTTCCAAAGTGCCATCGTGCCACTGATCATTACTGATTGTTCAAGCTGCAGTCAGAATGTTCCCAGTTAATACTTACGATCACTTTATCTCTCTGAGATTTTGTTTCTTTTTCATTTAATTTCTTAGCCGAGGAGATCATACATCTCATGGAGAGGAAGCTGTTAAACCATTTCTTTCTCAGCAGATTCTGTCTGGATAAATATAGGCCAGAGTATCATTGTGATACTGGAATCTCTAATTGTGTTACTCGTACATTTCCTTTGTATTTATAATACTGCTCTTCCACTTCCTCTGTCTGTCCTCCCATGACACTGTCTGCCCTCCTCACAGCCCGACAATGACAGATGAAAATCCCTCAGCTTGAATATTTTGTCGTTTTTCCTCTAAATCGGATCTCGCGAGCTGTGATGTCGGGGATACGTCTGATCTCCATGGCAATGCGCAGAATGCCAGTGGATCTACAGGAGCGAGTCAATGTCAAGGGTAGTGATGTGATAACGCCCCCTAGGGGTCGTGCAGCTCAGACGGGGGCTCGCCGGACGATTGTCAGAGGGAAACTTGGGGTCCTGCAGTCCCACAGAACCTTCTGGAACAGTCCCAGCTGTCAGCTGTAGCCTGTCCAGTAGTATCCCGACATCTTTATACACAAAATAAACAAAATAAGCGGTAGCTACAGATCGCAGATCACAGAAAACAGCCAAATGGGAGATCATGTAACCGCAGAATGACGATATGAGAAATTAATGTGCATCACAGTTTTTTCTCTTGGCTTAATATTAATGGCATATGACATTATATGTGTAAAACTTTAATGTTATAGGTGTTTCACCCTTTTGCTGATCTGGGTCATGCAATATCAGGATTTTCTCAGGATAGTTGTTTAGACTAAGTATTGTCTGCTAGTGCCAGACATTCACTGAACGACAGACTCAGGCCACACCGCAATCATCTGATGGATCCTGCTCTCCGTTTATCTGCAGATCTTATAACTGCTTCTCACTCGAGGTAAAGCCAGCGCTCAACGCTCAAGAGCCGGCCAACCTCTACAGCCAAAGATCTGTATTAAATCACTGTATAATGCAGCATCTGTGTATATTCCTACAGGAAGGTCCCTTCGTTTATGTGAAAGTCACACCCTTACGTCAGCGTTTCTGAAAGTAAGAGTCAGTGTCGTGGCTCAAGGTCGCAGCCGCGCGTGCCTCATGGTGCGTTTCATAAGCGTTTAATAATAACGAAAGGCACTATATTATGATGATGTGGTTTGGTTAGTGGAGAGTTTTCTTTGCACTTCCAATAAGCAGCTTCAGCTGTTCCTCCGAGAGTTTCAGCGCCGCAAAAAGGACGATTAGGATGGGAGTTTCCATCTGATCGAGGTTCTGATTTTTGACCTTGACCTTTGATGAGGTTTTCCCGTGGTTTGACTCCTCAGCAGCCAAATATGAAGACACCCACCATCCCCCCCCCCCAATACCGCCTTAGCGGTTCGGGTTTATTTTAAGCCACCGCCTCCCCTGGGGAGGAGGAGGTCATTTGGAGGTTCATGCCGGACGGCTAGAACCCGTCGGGTCCATAATGTCACATCGTGTTGCATTAAGCTAGTTCCACTAAAATCACCAGTAAACCACAGTGACTTCCCTATCACCGTGATACAAACACAACTGTCACCTTCATCGGCAGATTTTACCATATATTTAGGTGACTGGCTAAGATTTTGTGTGTGTGGTTCTACTGAGTCTTATTAGAACTATTCTGGTATCTATACATAGATCTATATATCTATATCTATAGATCTATAGATATAGGTACAGATCAGGGGTACTCAACTGACAAAACACAATTTAATCCAGACCATGCTATCAATCTGCCCCTCCCCAACAACCTTGTTCTGCAAAATCTACGGGGGTCCCTGGAAGTGAACCTTGGCTTTATATTGCTAATGGAATTTGAACCTTGGGGAAAAATACTTGAGCACCCCAGGTATAAATCATATAATATATAATTGAAATTTTTTATAATACATTAGTATCAAGCTTTACTTTGTGTAATTAAGATGCAGTTTTTTTGTAATTATTATTAAATCATAATTACAGTTCTTAAAACTGTATTTTTGTGCAATTAACTTATGGATTAAAGCAAACCTTATGGCGTAGAAGCTGTGTTTATTGTTAATTGGAACATCTGGCCACTGATTGGATGGATCTCACACCAGACACACCAATGGCAGCGTTTGTTTACAGTTCTGTGGGAGATGATGGGTGCAACAGTGTCATAATTTGCATATGAACATAAACAGCACTTCAGTCTGGTGCACCAGACCAAAAAATTAGGTAATAAGACTTTTTCAGAACTACTAATGAACCGTCCAAATGATGCTCCTTGTAAAGGGTCTAGTTTATTACCTTTTTGACTGTGTTGCACTGGAAATAGTGGACAATGTAGAATCGAGAGGCCATATCTGCATTGATGATAATTATATGTTTATGGGGGCAGTGTGTAGCTCATTGGGTTAGGACGCTATGCCTGTGATCGGAAGGTTGCCAGTTCAAATCCCAGGGGACGGCAGACTGATGTCACCATTAGGCCCTTGAGCACCACCCAGATCCTTCAGTAACTTCAAGGATTGTCTGACCCTGCTTTTGTGGGGGGGGGGACATACATTGCTTTGGATAAAATATCTATTTAAATAAATTAACTGTTGCAAGCCAGATATTTGACATTTTCCTAGCTATGTATCTGAGTGACTGCAGAGCAAAACAGTTATTTTGCTGACTTTTACAGTCGCTTGAAAGTTGCTGTATTTTTTTTTTATTTAAAAATCACAGTTTATCGTCACTGTTGTGTTTTTCAGTATAAACTCAGGTTATCAAGTCATAGCCGTAATCTACATTATTATCGGAAAACATTACAGATATAACTGTGTCTGTCAGGCACTTTATCTGGCTTTTTCTGCAGGGCAGCGCTGTCCAGCTCCCTGCCTAGACCAAGAATAACATAGAAGAGTAAGTCCACATTTACCCATTTGCCACCGGATAGTGGGCTGCCATTTTCGGAGGGTTTTGTGCCATTTCCAGGCAGCAGAGATCAAAAACGAGGCAGAGTAAGGAAAGCACCCATTATGCAGACATTTAACTGTGAGTGTTTAGTCCAACAGTCACTCCTGGCCTTGCTACTGAGATATATGAACATTCATGCAGGATCGTTTACTTATTTAGACACTTTTATCTGAAGTGATGAACACTTTTTCGGGAAAGCAGGGTCAGCCAGACCCTAGAGCAACTGGGAATTAAGGGAGCTCAAGGGCCCGATGGTGACATCACTCCCCCAGTTATGGGATTCAAAGCAGCAAACTTCCAATCACAGGCACAGCGTGTAAACCTGCTGAGCCGCACACTGAAGATCACATTTGTAAATTGAAGGTGTTGATACTTTATAATTCAGAAATATATAAATGATTCTGTTGACGTTTAGGTAACACCGTGTTCTATATGCAGCCCAAATCCGCCCTGTTTTCTGTTTATTTCTTCTTTTTTATGATAAAACAGCAACTGTTTTTCCATCGTATTTACGCAGTATACCAAGTTAAATTGGAGGCCAACTGTAATCCGCATTGCCATATTCTGATATTAAGAAAGTAACTTCATCTAGCAGATATTTTACTTAATAATGATACATGTAACTAACTAAATATGTACTGGTACCAGTGGTAACTACTTCATCATATAGAAATCCATTTGTGAGCTTGTAGAGTCCATGATTATAAATTCTGAAATCTTGAGTTCACGACAATTTATTTGGGAGGGGGGATGGATTCCAGCACAGAAAGTACCAGAAAAACAGGTGGGGAGTCCCTGTAGGTGGCTGCTTGCGTAAGGGATTAGCGGGTAACCGTTGATCCTATTTGGGAAGCTGAGCTGGAGGCATCCTGCGATTCTGCAGGCCCTCGTCCTGAGAGCCTTCTGATCCGCAGGGTGGAATAATTCTTTTAACCCCTAGGATGATTTAATGCTCCTTCAGGCTGTGATTTGACTGTAGATGCCCATAGGGTCGTCCATGCAGTGTCTGGGTTCTTTCTTCGAGGTTCCTCCAGGGAAACGGGTACTCCAAGGTGAACATGCTGCCACCAGTATAGCCGCTGGGGCTATCTTTGGAGCCAGGATGCAGCATAGCAACAGGAATGCCAGCCATTTTATTGACCACACCGTGGATACTTAGTTTTGTGATTGGCTGGATGCTGCAGCATAACCTTCTCCCAAATGGTTCTCAAACCTGTAGCTGTCATTAACATAGAAGCTCCACCCCCTTTGAGATGATCCCATCCAATCGGTGTCCGCTTCTTTTTCGTCTAGGTGTCCGAGTTCATCCAATCGCTGCCCGGCTGTGAGGAGCAAGCCAAGCAGTTTAAGCAGGAGGTAAGGAGGCCGGAGTGTCCCTGGTGCCCTTCATGCAGAGGAGGAAGATGCACCATAAACAATAAGTAATATGTGATGTTAGCACTCTGCTCGTGATGCAGTGGCTACACTGCCAGGAAGGAGGGGCAAACTGCTGCAAAAAACATGCAGAGTTTGTAAGGATGTACTCAGTCTGAACGGCATGCAGTTTCTGCCAGAGATGCTTTTGCCAAAAGCTGAGTTCATGGTGATACATGAATCTATCAGGAGGCTGGAGTCTGAATTAAAAATTAGTCAAGGTGATGTAGCGATTGTACTGGAGACTGGGGCACATCAAAGACTGGAGTCTCTGGCAGCCCACTGTCACTGACAATATAATAGTTTAAAAAGAGAGAACGTAACAACCACTCACAATAGTTAGCATCAATCGCTAAATATTTTACTGGTTTTTATTGTTTTTACTGTCTTCCCCCATTATGGGGATCTGAATTGAATGAGCATGGTTGGTCCATCTTTTGTCCAGCAAATAGACGGGAAAGCCTTTTTACTGCTGACACAACGTGACATTGTGAAAATCATGGGAATGAAACTGGGGCCGGCTTTGAAGATCTACAACTCCATCCTGATGTTCAAGCACGCTGAGGACACCCGGCCAGCAGGGGGCGACGCCGACATTGACACCTGAAGCCAAAGTGACTCCACCGTGCACGCACACCTCTCCGAATCCGAGAGCAGCGGCACACAGATTGAGGTGGAAATAAAACAATAAACACCTGGTTTATACTAAATTATTTACGTGATTGTCCCGGTGGCCTTTTTCACCACGACATGGCCTCTAAGCCGAGGTTTTGCCTTCGCAGCAGAATATTTGAGTGCAGCTCCAGAGCACATGTGTTTGTTTATATGTTTATAGATTTTTGCTTGCTGTAATGTTCCACAATAGGCTGCAGAACTGACAATCGCCATGTGTAGGGATGGAATCTCACTGAGGCTGTTATCTGCTGGGTCACAATGGTGCTACCATCATTCCTAAATATAAACGGGAGACCAGATTGACTTCTCATGCATCGTCTTCTTTTACCTACTGAATCCAATCCAGAAGCAACCTGCTAATTTTGCGGACTTTTATTTAATTACATTTTGTTCAAATGCTATATAATTTCACTGTACCAAACTACTGATTCATTCATATTTATTGTGAGCTCTTTGCAAGTATTTGCAAGTGAAGGAATTTAATATATTGTGTACCTCTGGAACATCAAAAGAGTTTAAGTTGTTACAGATTTTATTTAATATTCTATTACACATTTCAGAGTTTTTAACAGGGAATTGGATAGTTAGAAACAATAGTTGTGTAGGAATATAATACTTAGTTCTTAAAAAGCAGTACTTTATATCTTTTCAGTAGCTAAAGCATCATATTGACTGATGGTTTCATTGCAGACAGTCTATATTTTCCCTTTTATTACATCCTGGCATGCAGAAGTTCTTTTGTTCCATGGGGATTTAGGCAGATGTACGAACAGGTATGACAGCAAACATACTTCAGGAAATTAATGAACTGGTTACAGCTCATTTCAGCCTTGCCTTTTTTAAAAAACAAAAGAACCTATGAAAACACAAAACTTGTAGTTTGTCGTTTATAGCCAAGTAAGATACAAAAATAAATAAATCTATATTTGCTATGTATTGTAAGAAATGGTGCAACGCCGAGGACTGGAGCACTCGCTCTTCGCGGTAACCCACTGGATTTTGGTAGCTTAATCAACAGGACAGCAACAAACCTTCAGGAATGTGAATCTGTTTAATGTCAAAGATCTTTTCCAGAGGTCTTCTATCTAAACATTTAGAGTATTCAGATATATATATATTTTTTTCTTTCCGTGCTTTTACTTCTGTGTTCAGAGAACGAATTCTCTGTTTTCCTTAGTGCATGACATGTACCAGAGTAAGCAGGCATAAGCTCTGGCCACTGGAAGTGACAGTCTTATCATAAAGTTTACTATACCTGTTTGTAATGTACTGTACATGTTTATTGTACTACGTTCTTAACTTTGAATTTCCACTTTATACAATAAAAAGACTATCAAACCTCATGATTAGCCCCTTATCATTGAAGAAAACAATGGATAAGTCACGCTCGCTGCTTTAATTTTGTGGTTTTTCTAAGCTTCCTTTTAAGGGGCATCTTTGTAACAATCACCCAAATAGTTAGATAAGGAGCCTTGTGATTTTCAAAGTGCAGACGTAACTGTGCAGATGTACGATGGCTCAGATTCAATGCAGCCTGGAAATTTCTTATGGCTGCAGAACAAACAGAATGATGTGTTCAGATGATTGAGCTTCTGTCTCTTGTGATAGATGGACAATTACTCGTGCATATTTGAACGACTTGTAAGAAGTTCTTCACAAAAAGAAGTTCCAGTGAGTTCTCATTTATGAAGCCATAGAAAGCAAATTGTTCCTTAATGTTTTGCCGAATTAAACTTAACACAAACAGTAACGACCAAATGGACTGATTAATTTAAACAGTCAAGAGTGATTTCAGGGTCTTGTTATTTTAATGCCAACAGTCACTTAACATGTTGTATAACATCTTGGTATACTGCCCTCTGGATTGTTTACATGCTTATGTGAACCATCATTCCAGTGTAGCACTTGTAGAAGATGCACATTATTATATTGGCATCTCTTATTTGACCACTTCCATAAAAATGGGGGCTGTGCAGTAATTACGGCCTAGTTAATGAAGTTGCACCTATAGAAGTTCTTCAGAGAAGTGCTTTGGAAATCAGGTGGTTTAAAACTGGTCTTAACATACAGCCTCACGTTCTATCCCTCAGAGAACAGCGGTACTTTTGAAAACAAGTACATTTTTAAAGTAAACAGCGGTGGAGATGTGTTGTTTTAACCACTGGTGAACGGGGATGGGCAGAGCTCAGTGGGTGACGGAGACATTGCTCCGGAACCGAGTGAAGCCGTAAGCCTTGGGGTGGAGGAAAGGAGCGCGATCCAAAAATTCAGAGACGGACGGTCTCTGCAGCACGGTAATAACTGAGCCGAAATTAATCTGAGGAACAGGTGGCAGAGAAGGCGTGGAGGAAAAGCGTGTGAGGAAGCGTTCCATAAGCACAGTGAGAGCATGAGGGGGACTGGGTGACAGGCCGTGTGTCACAGAGATAAGCACCCATACTGGCTGATTCCAGAGGATTGGGGTCAGAGAGACCCCGCCTTCTTCGAACCCTGTAAACATGCCCTTGACAACGTTAATTACAAACGTTAGGAAATTAGACTAGGAATCATATTTGTTTAAAGATAGACCAGCAAATACATTTTTTTTCTGACTGAAGCAATTAAGTAACAATTTACGCGGTAAAATGTAAGTCTGTGAGCAGCAACTGCAATAATGTTCTATGACATTTGATGGTGGAGCTGAGATTCGTGGCAAACTATGAGCAGATCTGGTTTTAAACACCTACAGCTTACCTATACAGGGCTATTCGTCCAAAACCTGAATGATGTTAGCTGGTTAATTCGGACTACGGTTTATCAGTGAAATTAACTTAAAGGAGAGGTTTCATAGCAGTGTATAGCAATACATCAATATACATTCATTAAACTGTTCTTTGGAAATAAAATATGAATCTTTAAATTTAGATAGGAACCTAATTTTCCTAAAAGCCTCAGGGATATGATTTTTTTTCTTGCAGTTTAATGAAATCATTTATGCTGCTGGCTGAAGGAGAGGTCTCATCGAAAGGGACGGAGCACTGGGTGATGAGCCGCCTTCATAGGGCTGCTCTTCGCCTTTCCACTTACGAGGCGTTTATGTGACGCTGAAAACGTCCTTCTTCAACTAAAGGTCTTTGAATTGTGTGCTATTTTTACCTGATTTGCATTCACGAATAAGTGTCATATGTTGCATTTGGTGGTGTTGATTTACATAAACTCTTTGAAGCGTTACCTTGCTGAAAAAAATAACCTAAAAAGAATACATTAATATTGTTGTTGTTGTCGAGAATTTTACTCGACGTTTAAGGTGTATCTTTAAAAAATTAGTAGTTAATATCATTCCACTTTGCCTTAAGGACGCAGAGGATATGTGGAAACGGATTATTTAAGGGTCATTATTTTAACAATAAGGGTGAGAATTATTTTATAGCAAGTCTAATAATTACTAAATGTAACAGCAGTTGCTTAAGGAGTATTTAAGTAACGCCCTCTTGCAAGATTTCCTGACACACGCGTTCCTACTCCACACCCCCACCCAAATACTCTCAGCCTCCATACAATGAACAGTTTTTCCTGTTACACTTCCATGATCCTCATAGGAAATTTCGATTTACTTGAGGTGTTTCGGCTGCAATAAAGTAGTTGTAGTAATATATGCAAATTAACTTCATTTTAGGCACTTCCGATTAATCAGCAATGGAAAACCATGTGCGGTTTACTGGAATATACGTTCTTACCACAGCGAGCTTTTATTATTTTATTATTTATAACCACCTTTGTCATTGAAAGCGCTGGATATATTTTAAAGGAGCGACTTGCATCATCATTCTACGCTGTGGCATCAATGCAAAGACAGTGTGATGAGGTTATAAACGCAATTAGATTGTGCATTTATGGGGTTTCTTGGCCTTGTTCCTAGTGTTGTCCGCATATCGCGATATGCTGAAGAGGTAGACGCACCTGCTCCGGTGCAGTTAGCCGACTCATTCTCCAGTTAGCTGGGCACCGCGTCTCCAGCGGAGTGTTTAGGGAGGTGACTACTTTAGTCCTGCTGCAGATTCATGTTAATCGCCGCTGTGGTATCGTAGCAACGACGCTGTATATCCACTGTAGCATCAGCATCATCGTCGCCAGTGGCTGGCAGCGCAAAAACTCACCATTAGTAACTCAGCGGAGCTCTCCGACTGACGTTCCTGGGAGGACTGCGCCGGTATGCGGCGGGATTTCAATGGGGGCTACAGCGCCATGCTTGGAGAAGGCGTCCATCCCTTATCTAATGGAGTTACGTGGAGTATCTGACCTTTCCTTCAAATGCATAAGGCACACACACCCGGAGAAACTTTGTCTTGGCGATAACAACTAAGGGATGGCTTTCTGTCCCTTCACTGGCTTCTTTGGTGAGTGAAGTCGATGCTTTGGAAGTCATTTCATGAATTTCAGAAATGTTGTGGTTCACCCCTTATTGATAAATTGTAAATAGAGAAGTAGAATAGCCTTTGTGTGATTTTATCTTTTAATAACTGCTATCTTGTTGCTACGAGGTCTTGTGTGGCTTGTCATTAACTGGTTAATGACTTATCTGCAGATTATATAGTACGTTATTAAGCATACCGAAACGTTATCATCATTGAGTACTTGGTTCGTATATACAGTATGCTGATGCATGCGTCTTCCACTCATTTCACTTTTCTGGTATTTTATTAAATCAAACCTGCGTTTTACATCATTGAACTTACTGGACGATGTATACTGTATGATGTAACTGAAAACAACTGAGCACATGGTATTGTATCAAATAATGCGACGTGCAGGTGTTTTTCACATAGAAATCAACTGAACTTTCTTTAATTCTTCTTGAGCTTCTTTATTCCTCATTATAGGTGTTAAAGTAGCGTGCGGGACTGCGCACAACGCAGGGACCGCGATTGGTACAGTATATGTTTTTTTGTATTCACATAGCCTGTATTAGACTGGGGTTTGCGTGGTTCAGTAACGTTTGGAAACCACATTTCAGTTACTATCGATCCATATTTTGATATTCGTTGACAAATAGTAAACCAGCTGGAATTTTACTGCGTGTTTTGTGGTCTCCGTATTCGCGCTACTGTTTAGAAGCCGACTCCCAGATGTATTACAGTATTTTGTAATGCTGGAAATGCGGGCTTTGGATTTTCGGCGAGATGAATTTACATAGCCCGACACTTGCAGGTAAATTGCAAAATAAAATCATTATGTGTTTTCATCGTTGTTATAGGAATAGCTGCCCTTTTTATATTTAAGTTTTAACAATATCAAAAGCCGTGTTGGCTACTGTAAACCGCGCTTTGCTCCGGAGAACTCAGCGCTGACCGCACCCGGAGCCAATCCGTCAGTGTTTGGAGGTCAGATCACTGTAGTTGATATAAATGCGTTGTATCTGCATGGACTCAGATTATAGTATACAGTATAGACATTGAGATGACATTGTTATTGCTTATAAAGTTGAGGGCCGTAATTATAACTAAACAAAGAATATTTTCTCAAATAGTAATTGCAAAATAGTTTCATGGCAATACAAAAAAAATCAACTGCACTAAATAGCAGTAGGCTTACAGTAGCTTAGATGGTGCCATTTGGTTTGTGTTGCTTATTTATGATGGTTTTCTGGTTTTTGCCAATTTATTCAAATAGTGTGATGCCAACAAAGTTCTGCAGCTGTCCATTAAAAGCATAAAATGATAAAAGTGTATTGTAAGGTCCTCACTGAAAGTTTATCTGACTTTTTATCCGAATTTTGCTTTATTTGAATTTTGATACGTAACCTGTGTGTCACCCGGTCTGGTGCGTTTATAATCCTGGATATACATTCATGTTTCCTAAATCAATTAGGATAATGCGCTATCTTTATTACATCTCATGTTGATCTCATAATCTCAATGCTTTTTGTTCGTGGTCATTCATCTGCATTGCTAATGGAGGGTTGGGGAATGGCGCTAAGTGCCCTAAGCTTTAAGGTGATCCGTAGAACCCCAACAAACCTTTCAGTCTAATTTAGATTTAAAAGCCCATATCGCAGTAAATGGGCGTCTCAACTATTCCATTGTCTTCTGTGATTGGTATTGGGGAAAACCCCGGAAGGGAATATGGCTGTCTCAGGACCGCAGCGCTTCACTGTACTGAGATTTATGTTCTGCTGGAGATACCATGTGAACAAAGCTGGGACTTAAAAAAGCAAATCCTTCGCAATATTCGATTGCTTGAAGATATGGGGGGCTACATTTTACAGTCAAAATGTAGACCACTAATGGAGTCTTCACGTTTTATGGTCATCTTAGTTTAATTGCGACTTACTGCTTAAGACCCTTAAGAGATAGAGAAATCATTCTTATTGCCTAATTATTCCGCACATAAGTAAGATGATTAATACTAGGCCATATTCATTACATAGGCATAGTAGTTAAAAATATGGCCTTGGAAGTAGATTTACGTATAAGTAGTGCCGGTGTTTCCGTGGGAAAAGTCTTTCAGATGAAATCAGGTTAAATACTTTTCACCATGAATTCCAACCATAATTTTCCGTCCGAACAGCGAAACCAAGCATTTAATTTTGATTTTCATGGTGCGGCCGAAGTCCCCTGAAACTAGGTAGGTTTAGCGAATAAGTCTGTGCTGAGTTAAAGCGGAAGTTTGGGCTGGGGGTGGCGTGGGGATTACTGACGCGCGCTTATATTCATTTCCAATCCGTTTTAGCCGGAACAATTTTCCTGCCAATCAGTAGTTAAGACTGTTTCCTTTACACTTTGCGATGGCCGCCTCTTCCCAATATTTGTATTTGGAAGGATCTTTAGTTTTTTATTCTAGATTTTCCATTGCATCATGTCATGCGTTTCATTGCAATTACTCTAGTTAATTACGTCGGTTTTAAAACGCCGACTATTATTAGGCTCTTACACTTTGGCAGGGGATTAGGTGCCATTTTATTGTGACAAATTTCTCATCTGGTCGTTTAAACTTGTAATAAACACGTTACGCTTTTTACAGGAAGTCCTGTGCTGCAATCGGCCCGTTTGTGTGAAAATCCTGCGTGATTAAGCGTTCAAAATGTATTTAAGTACAGAAACGGTTCAAGTGAGGTTAACAGTAATTTCGTAATTGTTACAGGTAAACGTTTTTGTTTAATTTCATCATTACAACTATGTCTGTACAGGGTAGGCTATGTATTTTGGTTTATATTGTAGCCAAGCGTCACGATATTGTGTATGCAGAATAGTAACACATTAATCCTGCTTCAATATTATTAACAAAGCAGCACTGGGTGGTCTGACTGACAGATTCCTCTATATAATTTTGACTGCATAGCCTCTTCCACAAATTGGCAAACATCCTCACTGTAGATGTCAAGCATTTGTTTTAAGGGGCTTGTCCATTAAAGTTGCTTGGAAGGGGAGATCCGTCCTGCTGTTATCTTTATCGGTTTTTGTGGGGCCAAAATAAGATACGCAGGGGGCCTTTGACAAACGAGGGCTGCTTCGTGATGAAGCAGGGATGGGATGTAACCTGTACAGCAGAGAGTAAATGGCTGCGAGTAACATTTATGGTAATGAGAGGCATTAATCAAAGGTTACCGCAGCCTGGAGATACCGAGCACACAGCAGAAGAGCCTCCGTTGGGTGTCCTTGGAGAGCTGCGCGCTGGAAGCTGCAGGATAAGGCCCCCCGCCGGCCCCGTGTAGCGCTTCATAAGACTTCCAGCGCCGACCTGGCGCCTCCATGCAATTTTTCATCTTCCCTTACAGTTAAGGGGCATTTCGTTAAGCGGAGTCAGTGTGGTGTCCCGTAATTTTAAACACAGCGAGAGGTAGGCCTGCTCATATCTCGCTATAGCTATTACCCTAGACGGTCATTTTAAAGTTGAGATTAGGGTGCTGATGCTGCTAATAATGTAATGAGATGAATCAAAGTTTTAAAAATAAGCGTCTGATTAATTCATCTTAACACATTTATGTAAAACATCGGAGGTTCTTTTAATATTCATTTGAGTTAGCTGTGGTCCCTTATTGTCAGAGTACGTTATTCTGGATGTACTAATTCCAGTTCGTACACTTTATATCCTGTTTGGCTTTTTAGCTGCCATCTGTATCACTACTTTGCCTTAAGAAAATTTTATATTCTTCCGGTTAAAAGACTTAAGCGTTTTACCTCCCTGTTTTTCCAACATATGTCATTGATACTCATGTGAAAACGTTGTATTGAGGCTTACAGGTGTGTAGTAGTTAAGGAAATTAACTGGGGGCAAAATGTGGTGCCTTTATATCTAGATGAGACTGCTGTTATACCCTAGAGCGTGGAATCAAGCTTCTGATGCATAATGTAACAGTACGCAAATGTTTAAGAGTAAAAAAACATCCTTAGTAACTGCATTAGGGCTACCAGAAAAAAAAATTGAATTACAATCCCAGTTAGCCAAACTAGGTGTTTGAGACTGTTGTAGAACAGATGTGCGTTTCAGTTCTGCATTGTAACTGTCACAATAGCCGCATATGCTGGCTCATGTAGATGCTGAACTCTTTAAATGCCTGTTTGTTCTCATACTTCCATTGCATTCCGGTTCCATTATTATGCAAGAAAACAACAGAAGCTATTTTCCATTGCAGCTTATCAACTTAATCTTATGACGGGGATTCAACGGCGGCGCTCAAAATTGAAATTAAACTTAATCTCGCAGACAACATAAACATCAAAAACGGTGCTTACTTTTCTCTCTCCTCATTATCTTCACACTAACTATGACCAGCATGCTCATTAATTCAGCGTCAGCTGCACCATCGCGAAACTGATCTTGCCATTGACACGCGTATCCGTCCGTTGATGTTTGACGTCCTTCGGCTGGTAAAACACATAAACAAATTCCTTCTCACGTAATGCAGGGTTCTGTAAGTTTTCACAAAGTTTGAGAAATTCAATTAAAATTTAACCCATTATTTTTTTATGTTTTTTTAACAGTGTGGTGAAGTTCTCACATAGCCAAAGAGCAAATGCACATATAAAAAAATCCCCATATAGGCCTAATGTTTGGACAAAAGTAATCTCAGTGCATTTCTTATTACTATATTAGAGTATATTTTGTGTTGGTTTTCCTTGCATTGCAGTAAGGTTCAGTACCCTCCCTTCCATTTTAACAGTGAAGGAAAGGAATCAATTAGGACTCAATTAATGTGGACGCTTAAGCCGGGAAGGCGTAAGGCTGGAGACGAGGGGAGGCTCTAAGGTGTTAGACACTGACAGCCATACCTCCCAAATGCACGATAGCCTGCCTACGATCCGAGGCGCAATCAGCGCAGTTTACAAAGCTCACTTTCCAGTTCCCGTCCATCTGAGAAAGGGAAGCTAATGAGCCTTTTCCCTTCTGGCCGAATGCTATTAGGGGGGTCGCTCCTGCGCCACAGTCATATTCCACGGCAGAGCACGTCAACGCAAATAGAGAAAAATGATCGCAATGTCAACGACTTACGGCTCTATCCTCTTACTACTGCATTGCCGATTAACGGTGTTCAGCCCTTGCAAGATTCACAACCTCCTGCGTCTCTATATTCCTCCCAACCAGTGCAGCTATCTACAGATTAGTGGCTTGTACGTATATTTAAATTTACTCTACACGTAATTTTAGCAAATTACAAAGTCTGGAATAATCTAACAAGCTATGTGGTTAAAAACATGGAGATGAACCGTAGTTTTAAACTTAGGCTATGTGCGCCCGCGAGCGTTCAGTGGCCGCAGATGCTCGTTAATGCAGACAACCTACATCCACCAAACACGGAATCGTATTTTATATCTTATATTAAGTTTATTTACTGTGTGGTTAACTATTGGTGCAGCTAAGACGTCTGATATAAGTGGTTTTCAAAAGCGGTGTGATTGTTGATGCCATGCAGCCATGGCGGTTTTAGCATTTCCTGGGATTTTCACTTCCTACAGTGTCTACATAAAAACACATGCATTGAGTGGCAGTTCTCTTGCCGAAAAGAGAACTTAATGAGAGGTCAGAGAATGGGCAGACTCGTTAAAGCTAGCAGGAAGAGCAGAAGTACAAAAAAGCTCAGTAAGAAACATCTCTCTTTGAAATGCTTCTGGAGGTGAAAGCGAGTCCTACCTGGATCTATATGTAAAAAGTGGCCATTAGTGTAAAGCAAACCAGCAGCAGCAGTTGATTGGCTTAAGGAGAAAACTGATCCCGTAAAGACTTTTCCCAGAACAGAATAGTAGCAATTTAGACAATAGCTGCAATGGCAGTACAAAGTGATAATATTTCCCCCTCCCCCCGCACCATGACTTTAAAAACAAATTCATTGGGCGTTGCATATAAAATCCAGCTCGAAAAAAAGTGGATGACATGAAAAGGCAGGTTTTGTTTACTCTTCATTGAATTGTTACACAATTTAACCGTATAGATTATTTATAAAGCCCCACCGACTATCAGCCATAATTAGCCATACTTAATAAAATTACATAGGCCTACCTACGGGTCTAGATGCTAGTAAAACAATCCCCTTTTCGTGTTATTTTTGTGCTTTAGTCCGATTTCTGTCCTTTTTAAGTCCTATAGCAGGGGTGCCCAACTCCAGTCCTGGAGGGCCAGAGCCCTGCACATTTTTGGGTTTCCCCTCATTTTCAACTCCTTGTGCTAATTACCACACAGTTCTTGAGCTGAATAATTTATGGTGGAACAGGGAAAGAACTAAGCTACACAGGGCTCCGGCCCTGCAGGACTGGAGTTGAGCACCCCTGTCCTATAGGCTAGCTACCTGACGCTGTACTTACATATCTATATCTATATGTCATAGAACAGGAGCCGTCCTTGACAGCTTGTTTTTAACAGGCCTATTAGTTAACCTAATTATCCGACTTGGCAACGTACTGCGCGATCTCGTAACAACATATGGGTAATTAACTTCATTAATGATTTACTGATTTAAGACAGCACAGGTCCGTGCAAGATCGCTGAGAGAGAAATGAAAAATGCTGCGATTGGTTGGTTAATAATTCAGTCCAAAATATTCGACTAGTACAGGATTTTACTAAAACGTTTTGTCCGTCTGCACTTTTAGTACAGTAATTGCGAGTACTACCAGTTATCTGCAGTAATAACCGATATCTCCGTAACTTAAGTTCTATAACGCTAAACAGATAACACGTCTCTAATTACGATGTATTTTATTTTTATTCTAATTTATTTTTACTGAAGCAGTTTGCCCCACTAGACAGCAATACTGATTTGCAATTCACTTCATTATACATGCATGTTATTCAGCCTGAAATTACGGTTAATGTCTATACACAGAAGTACACGTTACATTTTTGTAGTAATTTGCGGGAAATTGTGTCATGACAATTAACTAGCTCCTTTTCTCGAGGCTTCAATCTAAATCTATTTTGATTGTTACTCTGTCTTTGTTATCGGTAAGGAAACCTAGTTTCAGCATGTGATTTCAGATCAGCGGAAGATCATTTATGTTCATTAGGTTGTTTGTGACAGGCTGCTGGCTGGAAATTGATTTTGCCTTAAAAAAGGTTTCAGAAAGCATCAATAGACGTGTGACAGAATTTGTTGATTCGTAAATCGGAGTACCAGTGAAATAAATAAATTACTTTTAAAAAAAAGGTTTGGTTAAACATCTTCACAGTCAGATGTTTAATGTAAAATGCATATAGTTCATTCGGTTTAATTCTATTAATCAATAAATCTATAAAGCTTAAACAGTTATAATTACACAGGAGTTTCTCTTTCTCTGTCAGGTGATTCATTTCATAGACCAGTGGCCAAGTAAGAATGAGAGAGGACTGTTTGATTCTCTGTCCTTTAACATCTGGGGGTGTGCTACAAAGCAGGATTTCTGTTAGCTGGGTTACATAAGCCAGAAGTGATAATTGTCCTATAGGAAGAGAGATAAGTGACATTCCTATTCGATAATCCTTACATTTGGCTTCAGTTATCTGACTAATTTCCCTAACTATTATTAACATCAGGAGCGATTATAGGATTTGACCCATGGATCAGATTTTCTGAGCGGTCCCCTGCGATTAAATCTATATGAAATGTGTATGAAAATACAGAACAAATTGCTAAATGGGTTTAGAAAAATATGTTTTTCAGAGAGGCTCAGACAAAAAATAGGGCAGCTGTATCCCCCTAAATAGGGTCTATAATAGCCATGCATAACATCTAGCCATCTTTCATAACAGCTTATCCAGAACAGGGTCACTGTGCCATATTAAAAAGGCATGCAAAACAATTTAGATTGACAGAACCTTTAAAAATAAATAAGACTGTTTTATGACTCTGGACTGACTGTCCAGTAACCGGAAAGTAACAGTAATGGAAGGAATGGATGTTGAAATCGTGGTGAGGGCCGGGAATAAAAGTGTCAATTTCTTGTCTTCCCAGGATGACTGACAGCTCCGCCATCCAATCTGGATCATGATAGCCACAGGAGGTCTCTTGCGGATCTCAGCCAGGCGTCAGGACTCCCTGCATTCCAAGAACCAGTTGGAGAAGAAGCGCAAGAAGAAGGCCAAGAAGAAGAGGAAGAACGATGTGGTTGTAGTCAGGGGCAAGCTGAAGTTGTGTTCCATCTCGGGTTTGGTCGCTGCCCTGGGGATATTGGTCCTGCTGGTGGGGGTTGCAATGGCTGTTCTGGGCTATTGGCCCAAGGACTACCCGCTTTATCAGACACCCAAAGTCTCAATGAAAACTGAGGAGGTATATGACAAAACACTGTCCAACTGGACAGGCAGTAATTCAGTCTTAAATCAAATGTACAGTGAATTCCCCAGCAGCAATTTATCCAACAGCACCTCAACCGTTGCACCCCCTGCTGTTGGCTTCTTCAGGGAGTTCTTAGCCACGTACCTGCATTCAGACAAGCTGAAGGTTTTTGGGCCCCTAATCATGGGAATTGGGATATTCATCTTCATATGTGCCAACGCAGTGCTGCACGAGAACAGGGACAAGAAAACCAAAATCATCAACCTCCGGGATATCTACTCCACTGTCATTGACATGCACAGCCTTCGGGCCAAGGAGTGCACGCCGCACAATGGCTTTGTGAGTCACGCCCAGCCGCAGGCCGCCGAGGGCCAGCCGCGGCGCAACTGCAGCGCCGCCCTGCTGGCCAGGAGCTCCTGGCCCTCGACGTTCTCCAACAGGCAGCAGGAGCTCTGGTTTGAGAACCTATCGAAGGGTAGCTTGGCTCAGGACAGGGAAACGTTCATTGATGCAGTCTACAGCATATATAAGGAGCAGAACAGGACGGCAGAAGTGATGCTGCTGCCCAGGCAGAGAGAGGCTGAGTGCACAGCCACCTCCTCCATGACTGCATCCACTCTGCCAGCGATAAAACTGAACCCCAGTGTTGAGGAGAGCCAGCCTCCAGCGCCGATGGATTCAGAGAAGGCCCATAAGGACGGGGGAGAGCCTGGTCATGAGCCAGAGAGCAATCTGGCAGGCTGTAGTGGCCCCACATCCCCGCAGGCTGACACATACACCCCCCCGGGCCCCACAGATGTCTATAAGAGCTCCGGTAGCCTGCGGGGGGCGCCAGAGGGCTCACAGGCGCAACTGCTGCCCCCATCCCCTCGACAGAGGCTGAAGAGGTCGCACTCATCCCTCGGTACCCTCTCCGATTACCCCAGGTCAGTCGACCTGGAGTCGTGCGCATTACCGGCCTCCGACAGGCAGGGGGCGAGGACGCGGCGCTTTAGCTGCTCACGACTTGAGTGTTCCGGTATCTGGGGTTACATCAAGCTGGGGGACCTGGGGGGGGATTCTTTTGAGTCCTTAGAGGCGGTGTCTTCCAGCCGAGCCGTCTCAGCGGAGGCGTTGTTAGAGGGACAGAGGCCCCCGGTGACTGGTGGCCACAGAGCTGGCAGCAGTGAGCCGCATAGGGGACGGGTGACCACACAATACTTGAATACAGAAACTCTTTTGCCAGGATCCAAAACCAGGGCAGCGCTGGATGAAGGGGAACCTGGAAGCTCGGACATTTGAATGAATATATCTCTTTATGAAAGATCATTTGCACAATTTTATAAAGTTTGAAAGGTCTGTGAAACTTGTTGCAAAGGGCACAACAGAAGTAATGGATGGCAGTTCACACTTACTGCCCAACTCCCCGTTAGGGACACTTTGCTATTGTAATGCAATCAAGCATAAAAAAAGATTCTTTTAAATTTGGTTTGACGATATGCGAATGGGTTTGAAATTATAGATGCTTTTTTTAGGAGTTGGTAGCTCTGTTGTGACCCGTGGAAGATACCATAACCCAAAGAACATCCAAATGTAGGAATTTCATATGTTTGCCTCTGTTTTGTACTTCCTTTCACGGCAGGAAAGCCGTGGAATACTGTCATCCGACTTACCGACTTCATGGTGTGTATAAAAAATGAACGTAAACACTACTGTTCTCTGTTAATACTCATAGTTAATCCACCAAATTCACTCAAATTGGAACTGCTGTCCAGCCAATATAAATTATATTTCATTTCTTGAATAGCTTATTATTTATTATGGCAAATATTTTGTATTGATAATTTTTAACAAGTTTGAAACCCAGATTAGCAATATTATGCTTAACGGATTATAATTATTTATGGGGAAAAAGAAAAGTAACAATGTTTGCTGTTACAAACCAGTTATTTCAAAGAGATATGCTGTCATTTAATTTTATATGCCTGGCAAGCTTGAGTAGGACTTTACATCTATACTGCTATTTTGGCATGAGTTCAACCCGGAGTTTTGACATGCTCACCGGAGTCTTGATTTAACTTGGCCCTTGATGAGAAATGTAATCTGACGTCTGTAGCACCCAAATTGCTTAAGTTTCAAAATAAATGAAAACTGATTCTGTGCAAGACAATTATTTTTTTTATGTTAATACAGTGGGATAATAGCACTGAGAGAAGACCGCCAGAGTTCAGCCTAGCAAACGAAAGCTATATATAGTATCTTCAAATTCCTTAGCGTCTCCATGAATCCGGATTCTCTGTCAAAGATGTTTTTCCTTTCTGCGAAACCAGGAGGAATCAAAGATATGCTCATTTGTGACATCTTCAGGGCACATTAAATGTAATCTCTCTTCTTCAGTGCTTATGTTGCTGGTGCAAAATAAAAACTGTGCATTTGACTAAATGGTTAAGGTCATATTATAAGTGCCAGTTGTTGGTTTCCCAGCAATATATCTGAATTGCTCTTAGGAATTTGGCCAAAGTGAAAAAAAAAAAATGTCATGAAATATTACAAGAAACCCAATGTTCCAAAAAGCCACTGCCTTTAATTCCTCTAAGTGAACGGGACACACAGACTCCCTATGATGTACATTAAACAAAAAGCTCTTATTTTAACTGCTGTTCTTTTCGTATTTAATGTGATTGCAGGCTTCTTAACCTCCAGGATTTCATCTGGTGAAATGCATGCATGTTAGAAAAGTTCACTCTCATGAAATATTCTTTGACTGGAAGTGGGGCTGAGATATGCGGGGGGTATATATAAAGGCGGGGCCACATGGCCACTGGCTCCAGCTGAAAGCTGATTGGCTCCCAGAGGGCCCCTTCCCCTGTCACTCACTGATTCAAAACATATCATTTCCTAATGATAAGGTTGGCCCCTCTTGTAGGCCCCACTTTAAAAAATCTTATACTCGCCCTCAGAGGTCTGCGGAGGACAGCTAATATAGCAAAACTAGCAAATAGACTCCATCACTCAAGCTATAACACAAAAGCAGGAATGATGCCCCTTTAAGGGGGACAGGCTGGAAAAAGCGACGAGTGAGAGATGGAGACCCCAGAGTAACACAGCTAGCAAAGCCTCATACACGCTGACTGCAAAGAGGAGCCTCCTCTCTGCTCTCCCCAGCCCTCCTCTGTGTGCCACTATCAGCCCTTAATGGTCTAATTAGTCCAATCAGGGTCATTTAGGTTTCATTAACAGAGGCCTCTGTGGGGATGGGGTTGGTGATCAGTTGCCATGGAAATGCTAATGACGAGCCAAACCCAGCCCAATGCTTTACCTTTACGTCCTACTGGCGTGCAACCGCTGTAGGGTTTACCTAACAATGCGTTGTAATTCATCTAAGATGCACACTAAACCGGGCTCTAGGAGTCACTGTTAGGCATCACCATGGGCGTCGTTAAGCCCCGAGTATTTTAGCCCCGATGCCAATCTTCCTTCGAAAATAAAAAAAAACTCAAGCCCCAGGTAATATTGACTTCACCCTTCAATAATCCTGACTGATCGTTTCAAGCTAGAAAAGCCTCAGGGCATCACAGCTTCCCTGGGGCCATTTGTGGTGTTTTGCACCTGCCCTCTAGCCTACAGTTTCCAAAAGGTGCCTTAGGTACACACAAGTAAAAGGGAGATCCAGGTCGATGGGATGAATGTACAGAGGGAATACAGGCCCAAAAACTGCCAGCCTACAATCCTTCCTGGCTTCCTGACCATAATCATGGTTCATCTCCATATCCAAAGGATTTCTTGCTTAGCCAGGTAACTTGTCAGATTTAAGGTAGTCTGGGGTAAATGTAAGTAAAGTCCATTTCAACTGGTATATGTTTAAATCTGACAAGTTATCCAGGTAAGCAAGAAATCCAGCCTTGTGATACAGGCCCCTGGTCCACTGCTTCTGTCAGCACAAACGCTCCATCAATCATCAGCTTCCCAGTCATGAAGGTCCCTCCACAGACTCTTCCATAGCCCCCTTCATCCTGCGTTTGAACAAGCTCTGCATCACAACACAAAATGGGTCAATTACAGTTATGAATTCTTAATATGCAATATATATCTCTATTATCACAAATATTTATATGTGTATTGTATACAAAATATAAATTGTGAATGAGATCAATATACTATTCTAAATTAATTATTAATGGATATTCTAATAGACATATAAATATTTGCATGAAGTGGTTGTAAATATAGTAATAAACAATTATGATAATGGGCGAACACCTCAAATAAAAGAGTTGTTTCACTTGCGCTTGACACATCGTCTTACGGTCCACTGGCGACGCCTCCCGACTGTGACGTCGATCAGAGGGCTGCAGTTTCCATCTGTTCTCCGAGGAGGGGACGGCTCAGGTCTTCCTGATCGGGGAACTGGAGCGAGCGACACCAGTCCCCGCTGTTAGCCGGGGGTTTATATATTGTATCAGACATGCCTGTCACGTTCTGCCTCATCAGAGTGATAAAATATAATAACGAAACAAGATTTCACAGCATTTCAATCGTTTGGAGTAATTAAGGGGCTTCTTATGTAGGAACTGTGCACAAGTATGGATAGATAGATAGATAGATAGATAGATAGATTAGATAGGTAGATAGATAGATAGATAGATGGATGGATGGATGGATGGATGTCCCAGTCACTGCACTGGGAAATTGGGATTCACACAGACCACAGGATGGGCCGTCCTGTTGGCCACAGTGTCCCCGTCACTGCGCCAGGGCTACGGGANCACACAGACCACAGGATGGGCCGTCCTGTTGGCCACAGTGTCCCCGTCACTGCGCCAGGGCTACGGGATCCACACAGACCACAGGATGGGCTAACACGCTAGCCACACCAACACCTCTTCCAGCCAGGCCCAAACCTGCTTATCTTCAGGTGGATTACCTAGTCTGAACCGCAGGTGGGGTGCTTGTTTTGAAAACCAGACATATATAGGGATGTCTTTGCTTCTTAAGACTTTGATTGATTTATATTGTTTAAAAAGCATCAAGAAGGATTTATCTAGCTGCCATGCATTTGGGTTATTATCCCCAGGCCAAGGTCACGGTAAACGAGGGGTGATTAGTGGCCCCTCACCCAGGCCAGGCTCCCAGCACCGTCTCAGGTATTACGGCTCTGCTGCTTCACTGAGGCCACCTGCTAGGATTCCTCTGCCTTTACTTCAGCCAGTTGGCCAGTGTTTCTCAGCCCAGTCCTCAGGACACACACACAGTCCACATTCTGGCTCCCTCCCAGCGCCCAGCACACCTGGACCAGGTATTCGGTTCTCTTGATTGTTTGTTTCATTCTTGATTGGTTCAGGTGTGAACCAATCAAGGTGGGAGGGAACCAAGATGTGGACTGTGTGGTGGTCCCCGAGGACTAGGCTGAGAAACACTGCGAAATACTATACATGATGTTATATATGCACCCACATCATTCATATATACAAACATATGGTGTATATGTGTATATATGAATGTTGCATGATGCGAGGCGTACATGTGCAAATAAAATGAATATTCACAGTTTTGTAAATGGAACCGTCAGCAGTGTATAAAGACAAACATAAAAATGTCTGTCATGCACAAGCACGCATGTGCATGGAAAGCATACGGCCTGTCCTCGTTCAGTATGAGGGCGCCGTAAGCAATATGTTGATTTATTCCTGGCAGCCGTCCCACGGCGCTCTGGCAAAGGGGCTGACGCAGGCCTCTGTGACTTTCAGCAGGATGGCGGCACCCACAGACGGCTGTGTGACAAAGGGAGAACTGCACAGGCATGAGGAGACACCGGGATGAAGGGGGAAGGGGGGCTTAGGGACAAACGATGGTGAAATGCAGAGGACGTAAGGTCATGCAGTGTTGGCATGCAGTAGATCCTAAGTATAAACACCAGGAACATGCAGATGTGCAGCAGGAGCCACATAGTCTGCACAGTGTCATTCCACATGCACGTGGTCTGCAGTGTGATCCTACGGGTTGTGGTCTGCAGTGTGATCCCATGTGCATGCGGTCTGCAGTGTGATCCTATGGGGCGCATGGTCTGCAGTGAGATCTCAGGGGCACATGGTCTGCAGTGTGTTCCCAGGGGCGTGCAGTCTGCAGTGTGATCCTACAGGCATGTGGTCTGATATTGTGATCCTACAGGGCGCACAGTCTGCAGTGTGATCCTACAGGCGTGTGGTCTGCAGTGTGATCCTACAGGTGTGAGGTCTGCAGTGTGTTCCCATGGGCATGCGGTCTGCAGTGTAATCCTACAGGCACACGGTCTGCAGTGTGATTCCATGGGTGTGCTGAATGTCCAGTGGGAAGGGCAATATCAAATAGGAGGGACAATGCCAAGCAGGAGGGGTTTATAACAAGAGGCCTGTTATCATCTGATACCCTAACACAGGGGTGGGGAACCTGTTCCATGGAGGGCCGGTGTGGGTGCAGGTTTTTGAGATGACCTCTCAATCAGCTAATAATAAAGCAGTGGTTCTCAACTCCAGTCCTGGGGACCCACTGTTATTAGCTGATTGAGAGGCCATCCCAAAAAACCCGCACCCACACCGGCCCTCCATGGAACAGGTTCCCCACCCCTGCCCTAACCCTAACCCTTGTTACAAACCCCTCCTACCCCTTATGATAAACCCCTCCTACTCAATGTTGCTCCTCCCACTCAACACTTGGTTCCCAGCTGCAGAGATATAGGCCCAATCCCAAACCGGTCCCTACACACTCCGCCTCACCACTCTGCCTTCGTTTGCGCGTTCCTGAGACCCGTCGCCATGTTGAAGTGTGTCTCAAAGCAGCAAGGGCTAAGGGGGAGTGGTCGATTATGCCCTCATTTAGCGAGTCAGCAACAATGGTGGCTCGCGCGATTCCACTACCACTTCCATATCCCACAATTCCTAGCGCACAGGAAACAGAACAGCGCGATAATTTAATAATTGGATTCTAACAGCACTGTGAAATACACATAGAAAGTCTATGTTACATGTTATAATTCATCGCTGCAGAAAAAAAAATAGGAAAGCAGTTATTTGTAGCTGGTCAGTACAGATAGACTTTATCGTGATCCGATTACGAGAGATTTTGTGTACTTTTCAAACTAGAAACCACGCGAAGAAACATTCGTACGCAAACTCGATCAACATCACAC